TTCCCAGCTGACTTCCAATAAGCAAAGTCAATGAGGGAAGCCAGATTCACATAACTGCATTGATCTGCTTAATCACTATGGCAAAAGAAGGTCAAAAAATTGGATGCAACTCACTTAATAATCATCTTGCTTAGCAAAGGAAGTTCTGGTCATAAGTCAAGAACTAGCTGTATTCAGGGGAGTGACTCAGACAAACACGAATACTTGATTGATAAACACTTCTGATTAGTCCCTTTTACCTGACAATTTACTCCTCTAAGTTCATGTTCCAATAAAACAGCATGAGAACTATCCAAAATGACCAGGGGCATCTGCAAAAGGTGTTTGTGTGTGTGTGTGTGTGTGTGTGTGTGTGTGAGAGAGAGAGAGAAAAAGCTTTGTCAATGAACAGTGATTAAGCAAACCATAATTTTGGAAGTTCATGTTGCTTTTATGTTCATAAAAAAAAGTCAGAGCTTTGACCATGTGGTGTGGATGCCATCTTGACTTTTTTGACCCATTCTGCAGATGCCCCTCTGTATTGCCCTCCCTTGAAGCTTTACTCCCTTTGTAATCCCTGTCAAATAAGGAATATATTATCCAAACTTCTGTGAACCAGTACAACCTTAACAGCTATCTTGTGGGAAGATGGTGAGGTATTTGGAGATGACAACAAGCATTTATGCCAAACTCCCAGTGAGATTTGTGGTGATGAAAAATATATAGATGTTGCAGAGCCACGTGTGAATGAACACAGTAAGTAACATGTGGCAGCCATGCACAATTACATCCAATTAGCCCTTGAAAACATTTCTTTGGTAAGACATTCTTGAAGTATTTGGCTAGAACAGGCACTCTGATACTGTAAATGAGTGAAAATAATTCAGTGCACTAAGTTTAAACAGTTGTTTGAGGATTGAGCTTGAAGTAGACAAGAAGAACATAATACAATCCTTCACATAAATCGTAGTTTGTGTAACCATAGTTCATTAAATAAGTTATTTCCCATATAGCTCTGTCCTATAATAATCCACATTTTGGATAGAAAGAACCATTGGTTTGAAAGAGAGGTAAAAAAAATCCATGTTAGAATTGACTAAGACACCACCTATCTCCAGTTTACAAAGCAGTCCTTGCAGCAGTTCCAAGAAGATTCCACAACCAATTGCAGCCTGATTCAGGTGACCCCGAAGGCCCAGATAAACCCCCAAGTGGTCTCAAGAGCCCTCAAGGAGAGTACTAACGACCAGATGACTGCAAAGAAATACAATCCTTCCATTCCCCACCCCCATCCTATCGGAACCTATCCTTCCAGTCTCAAGTGTCAGTACCTATCCTTCCATTCCCCCAGCCATCAGAACTGATGAAGCTTCTTGAATGAGAAGCAAAACATTTCCTTCTTCTTCCTCAAGGAAAAATCAATCCAGTTGTCTTTTGAAGGAAAAAAAAAACCTTTGAGTTCTGTCCTATTCTTACATAGTTCTGTCCTATTAAAGCAATTTAACAGGGCTAGCGTATCTGACTTGGAAGAAACCAGGTTACTTTAGATAACAACTTATTTAAACGTAAATTCTTTGCTGCCATCTTGAGGTCACCAGGATTTTTCCACCATAAGTATGGTAGCACTTGAGTTAGAAGATTTTAAGTTTTTCCGCTTCTTTTAGAAAATATATTTGGAACCCTCACAATCAATAGCTAACATTTAAAGATTTATACATTTTATTGAGTTAACTCTGGTAAGTTTGAAGATTGCATGAAACCCCTTAATTAATATAGTCACCTAAATGAAAGAAGAATCTGAACATAATCAGAAAAGTGCAGACAAAAATTTCTAGTTTCGCCATCTGTGAACCTATATTGCTATTTTTATTTGAGACCAACCCGAAAGATGGTTCTCATCCCCACAAAAGTGATCATGGCAGATATTTGTTTTAAAATCCCTAATGTTCAAATAAGAGACACACAAACATTGATTATTTTCTTTGTCATAGTACCTATTACGATCTCCGAACTACAACTGCAGTCTAGAAATAGGATATGTGTGGCTTTCCAGATGTTCCTGAATTACAATTCCTTGAGTTTTCAGTCAGAACAGCCAATTGGAAGGAATGTTGAGGGTTATCATTTGGCAATATCTGGAAAACCTCACATTCCTGTCATGTGAAAATATTGCATTATTAGCCCATGATTTGCCAGGTTTTTTTCAATATTATATCCTAAACCTGCCTCTGATCCATCTAGGTCTAGACTGATGATAGGTTTATCTAGTCAGATTTCATTCTAATTCAGGCCTCAGATTCACCATGTTCTACTATTGTCTCCAATTCCAGACTATCTGCATTTGTCCTAATTCCAATCCATGAAATCCCACTGGAATTTTTATCCTTTTGTTTTTATGCCCACTCACTCAGAAATCCTTACATTTGCTTCATAACAGATTGTTCTAAGACGTATTGGGAAAAAAAACATTTTAAACACTTAAAATATTGCCATTATCATTAAAAGGCATTGTTCATATTGAATTATGTTTTAAGTTCCCTTCTATTGTTAGAATAAACAGAAGACAGGAGAGATTGTGTATATGTAGGTCTAAAATCCAGCTATGCTAATTAGGAAAGAAAATCCTATAAATTATAAATGTGTTATATAATATATACTTTGCATTATAAATTGCATTTACACTGTCTCCCATTAGCTTGCTGTCTCTTCTAAAATCTGAACTTACTCAAAAAGTCTAATGACAAAGTTACCAAATTACTCCTGTATTATCTGCCTGTCTTCTTAGATTCTTAATGGGATAGCTACCTCTAGTACTTTAAATATCAGCAGGAAATTCTATTATATCTATGGAGAGACCATACTCAAATATTTGTCATTGCAGTTGAGACTGGCCTCTTCCTCAATACATTTTAGAAAGGGGTTTAAATCTTTTAGATGTTTTCATGCTTAATTTTAATATTTCCAAAATTTAAATGGTTTATTTATTTATATATACTACACACACAGATATAGATATAGATACTTTGTATGCTATCCAAAGCTGTTAGGACAGCAGGATACTTACTGTATGTATTCATAAACCAATCGACTTACATTAGTTTCCAATTTTCCATTCTTTATCATTTAGGAAGACCGTCTTTGTGGTGTCACAGCGGTCCTAGTGTGGCAGTATGTTGAGCAACAAGGAAAAGAAGAACAAATGGTGAGAACAAATCTATCCAAATCAACATAATTATTCTGAACGAATGTTTGTGCTACAGAACTTAATTTATACAGTCTTCACAATTCAGTACGGTATATGAAAGTCCAGCAATGCAGTTTTAAAGGAGGATGTTAGAAATTGCTGTAATTGTGAGTATCTCCTGTGCTTCTTGGTCCTCCTTCAGATAAACTCACAAATTGCTTAACATTTTCCCAAAGCCTTGCACCACCGTATTTTGGCTGGACTTTACAAATCTGTGGCCGAGTTTCCCCAATGCTCTGAACCATGAAATAACCCACCAGCTTGGCCACCACAACTGGCTCAACTGGGGCCACCAAGTTTGTTGCTTCTCTTGCCAGAGATGAACGTCAATTAAAGTTGGCATAATTTCAACGGTGCTGCCTTTCTCAAACTCAGTTGTACAAAAGACACCTGAAGATGCTTCCAAAAATCCTGGCTGGAAACGCTCGGCCACTCGATCCAAGCATCCGGTTGGAATTGTCCTCCTTCTCCTCGCCTTCTCCCTTTGGCTGCTTCAGCAGGTCCAGCCTAGAGGTTTCGACACCTGAGAGTAGGAGGCGGGATGCTGTGGGCGGGGCTTCGAAGAAACGAGCTCCTCCCTCCACTGCCTCCCCGATTTTACCTGCTCTCGGCTCCTGGACGTCACCTGCCTTTACGGTCGAAAAGGTGGCCGAGAGCGAGCGGAGCTGGGCTCCAGTCCCTGGATGACCGCCTCCCTCCTTTAACGCTTAAGTGATGCGAGCGCTTTGGAATTGGGGGCAGCGGGGGAGCTTCAGAACGCCCCGCGGGCGGCTTCCACCAAAGTCTGGTGTTGGGTTACCTCGGCAAGAAAATGTAAGCCTAAGATGCCGGGCTAACTTCAGAAGGCTTCTCCGTGGCTTGCCGTGTAATATACGATATGTCGAGCCGCTGACTTCAGCCGAGAGATATTTGTTGTTTGATGGTTGGGGGGAGTGAAGAGAGACACACAGAGAGAGAGATGGGGGGCGCTAGTCTGTCTTGCTCCGTGTGTGTGTGTGTGTGTGTGTGTGTGTGTGTGTTTACGTCGCGGGCGAATCAGAGGCGCCGCTGCGAGAACGTCACCGACCTCCAGCCCTATAAAGGCATCTCCAGTCTCACTTTCCCCTGGCAAAGAGACCAGGCGTGTGTTTTCGACGGCCGGAGTGCCCACCTCTGCCCCCTGGTGTAAACGCTGAGCTACACCTCCCGAGGCAGGAGATCCACCGCTTTCCTACCTTCTTTCTTTTCTCCTTTCTTTCTTTCTTTCTTTCTTTCTCTCTCTCTCTCTCTTTCTCCCCCCCCCCTTCTCGTCCTCTTTGATCCCTGCGGATTTTACCGAGTTCCCTGGGCGAGGAAGAAGAGCAAGAAGCGCTCGTCCGCCCTCGCCAGCACGGTGGATTTGCAAGCGCCGCCGCTGACCGGCCCTTGGGAGCGACACGGCGTCCCACGTGGATCTATCTCGGGCGTCTGCTGGCCGTCGCAGCCCCGCTCCGCCACCTTCGAAGACCCTCTGCCTTTCGTGGATCCCCTTCCCGCCGGCCCACCTCGCTTTCTCCGGGGCTCCCCGCAGCACCTCTTCCTCCTCTGCCGCCGCCGTCGCCGCCGCCCGCTTCTCCCTGGACCAGCTGGCGTTGCAAGCCCCCCCTGATGTCTTCACGGGACCTCCCGCCGCTGTTGATGGGGTGTCTCTCTCCGCTTTCCAACCAGCGCCTTGGCAACGGTAGGATCCCGAGCCAGCTGCTCCTGTCAGGCGGCGCCCGGCGCGGCCAGGCAGGCTTCTCGCACCGCCTGTCCTGAGCTTGGGAGTGCGCGAACCCGGCTCGCTCGGAGCCCGGGAAAGGAGGAGTCCCCGGCTGCACCTGCGGGGGGAGGGCGCGGAGCCGCGGCGGCAGCAGCAGCAGCAGCAGCAGAAGCTCCCTCCCTCCCCCGCCTGCCTCGCCAGCGCCAAGTCAGCCGAAGGCAACCTCTCCCACCCCGCGCCGCCCACCCACTTTGGAGGATCGCGACGCCCGGGGCTCCTTTCCGCATCTTCGGAGCTTGGAAAGCGGGCAATTCTGGCGTTCATGTCACCCCGTGGCCTGGGAAGACCAGCTCAAAGGTAAGGAGGAGAAGTCGACCGGCCAAGCAGCGACCCAGCCAGGCTCAAGGTTTTGGACAGGTTGCGCCGCGAGTGGGGAGGGGTGGCGTCTCAGCTTGGCTGCTACCGTAGGACAAAATTTGTGAACTCTCTGCAAAGAATCTCTTCCTCTCTCTCCCCCCCCCCTCCTTTCCCCGAATATCTTTTCTATCTTGCATCTGCACGTACAAAAGTGTTTATTAGCAGAGCTGAGCGTGCATCTATTCGACCTTGGCTGATTTCTTTTTCTTCCCGCAACAATTTCGTTTCGGGGTCCACCATTAGTTTATTAAAAAAACACCGCTTCGCCCACCTGGCTTTGCGGTGGAGGAGAGATCCCTGGAGGTTTCTGCCTCGGATAATTCGGGAAGAACTATAACGCCTCTAGCAAGAAGCTTCGGAATATTACAACCCAAAGTTTTTGTTTTGTTTTTATTAACTTCTCTTCTGGAAGGAATGCTGCAGCCCCAGGTGGTCAAGCGATCCCCAAAGACTGGGGGGACAATTTAGAGAGGGAGTTAACCTAGGACCAAGGGATTGAGAAATATAAGGGGTTGGTATCCTCCAATGGAATCTTCCCAGAGCTGAGGTCTGCTCGTCCTCCTGTTTGCTCCTTCTCCTGCATGGGGCAAGCACAACCTTTACTTTAAATTTGGAGTGTACACCTCTTAATACAACAGAATCACTTCACTAGATTAGTTTACATCCCTTTTCTTTTTCCTCCAATGCCTGGAATGGTTGACTCGTTGGCGCTCTGCCTTAAATCCCAAGAATCAATTCTTGCAAACGTGTCACATTTCTGTCCTTCCTAGCAAAGATTGTCCCTTTTCTACTTTTATCTTCATGTCAGTCCTGCAAGGTAGATTAAATTAAGGTACCACCAGTTCCAAATCACCCAATGAATTCCTTGGGACTTTGAACCGGATCTCCCCCAAGTCTGCTGTTTCAGCTCCATGTTCTCAAATTTGTGTGGAGGGTTATCAGTTTATGGATTAGTACATTAATCACATTTGTGATCTATTCAGAAATATCACTGATTCCGTTCAGAGTTTTTCTCCCAAATAAGTCTAGCATCAAAGCTTCAATTTATTTATTTATTTATTGTTGTGCCAAATTCTTTCACGAAGGCCAATTTGATCTGGAACATGTGTGTAGTTTGTTGCTTAGTCTTAGTTTCTGATTTAGGGAGGAAGAAATACTGGGCCATGACTAAGCCCAGTTTGCCTATTTTTTTTTTCCTGCAAAATTAAGCTTTGAAGAAATGTGCTTTAAGGGTCAGCAATAAACTTGCTTGTAGGTTTCAAGATCTTGATCAGGAGATGGATGAAGAAACAATATACAGTGTTTAAACCATAAACCAGGTTAAAGGCACTCCTACAAGGACTAGCAAGAAGTCTTGGAATTGAAAGCTTTTGCTGAAGTAGCATCAACAGTTTCTACCCCAGCCTGACTTTTCCTCTTGATGTTCTTCTCTCTTTTCAGAGAGCCCCCACCGTCACCCCGAGATGGGGCAGAGAAAGAAGTATGCCTAAAAGTGTGTTTAGGGCAGTGTTTCTCAGCCTTGGAAACATGTAAGCTATGTGGACTTCAACTCCCAGAAGCCAAGGCTGGCTGGGGAATTCTGGGAATTGAAGTCCACACATTTCAAAGTTGCCAAGACTGAGGAGTTTTCCCAAGGCATGACCAAGCAGAGAGACATTAATGGTAGCCCTCTGAGCTGAGCAAAAGCCAAAACTATTCAAAAGAAGAATCTAAATATCCCCTTCTCTGAATACACTGATTCCCCCAAATGCCTTGATCTCCTTTCCCCATCATTTGCAGAAAACAATATGCCATCACCACCTTTATTCAGTCTCTTGGAAATCCCAGCCCAAATATGCACAGTAACATAGAAAAGGTAATCAGATACAAGTATGGTCAGAGATACTTTGGCTGGGCCACCCGGAGATTAGTCAGAGGAGGAATATGGTGTGTGCATATCTGAAAGCCTGACCTGTGTGTGGCATGAAGACAGGCAACAGCATCGTCTAAAACCCAATGCAGAGATATAGAATAGATAGTACCTGGCTCATCAGTAACTCTGAGAAGGATCTAGGTGTCCTAGTGGACCACCACTAGTCCCTTCCAACCCTGTTATTTTATGTCTATATAATAAAAAGTTTCATGTGAAGTTAGCCCATCTCCGAGCAGCTTTGTATAAATCATTGGGCAGGGTAACAGTCTCCAGGATTGGGTGATAAGATAAGCCAGTTGCTTTCTGAATATATACCCTCTGACCTCTTTGATTAAGGGACTTTGCACTGACTTAAAAAAGAGATACTGTGATGGTTGAGTTCCCATGACAAGTTAAACCATGGTTAACTAAGCTGTGATTTAGAGAATAAACCTGATTTTCTGGGTTCTCATGAGCCTCAGGACATAAGAGCACCTGGGCTGAGTTTGCCCCATGATTCAAGGCTGTCGTGGGATGATTTAATTTGTGGCTCAGTATGTCATGTGAAAACAATTATTGTCATATCTTGGGGGATTTTAAGGTTCAAGGGAGAAGAGATCTACAGATCTATCATTTGATCAGGAATTCAGTTTTCACATTAAATGCAACAATAATGATTAATAGCAAATTAACATTTTGAACCTTTATTGTCAGATGAGTTAAAATGCTTGAGCGATAATAGCAATGCCACTTAAACGTATATACCGCTTCACAGTGCTTTACAGCCCTCTCTAAGCGGTTTTACAAAGTCAGCATATAGCACCCAACAATCTGGGTCCTTATTTACTGACCTCGGAAGGATGGAAGGCTGAGTCAACCCTGAGCCGGTGAGAATCGAACTGCTGGCAGTCGGCAGTCACCAGAATTAGCCTGCAGTACTGCATTCTAACCACTGCGGCAGCACTGCTCTTCATAATATATTTAGGGTGCTTCAAAAATACCTGATTGACATTGCAGCATAACGGGGATTCCTCCACTGGAAAGAACATCTGGACTGCTTGAATTTTACACATCCAAAATGAGCACTGAGGGAAGAACTTCCCTCTCCCCGCTAGACCATTTTGCAATACTTTGATTAGGCTTTGAAATATAGTATCCATGGCAATATGAAATTGTCTTTTCTAAAATTCTACCAGTATAGGTTAGCATACCCATGATCCATCCCAAACTAATAGGTTCTGTGTGTTTACAAAGGGGAGGAGCTGAGTGCAGGATCTAGAAGAAGCAATTGGTTTCTACTACCCTCTAGTGGTAGTTCCAAACAATTTTTTACATATATTATATCTCAGCCTTTCCCAGCCAGGTGTCCTCAATGTGTTGGGGAAGACTGAGCTAGTTTAAATTCCTAAAAAAAAGCAGGCACAATTAATCAAAGATGGTGGTCCACCAGCCAAATTGGAGGCTTGGCCTGATTTAATTGCTCTCCAGATTTGGTTCTAGAGAACCCAAGTAAGGGCACAGTAGAAATCAAGAATAAATGAAGTCAAAATTGGTAGTTTAATAGTGCTGTGAAAATTTATTGGTTCAAACCTATAGGTGCCATATATTAGCACCAGTTTATTCATGGCATTTAACATGGGGTTCTAAGAAAGATGTTACCAATCCCGTCCTTCTGCACCACTTGTTCCATTTTTTCTATAAAGGAAGAAAACTTGGAACTGCTGAATGTCTTTATTAGCACTGGAAGGCCCCTTTCACTGCATTCAAACTATTCTCAAATAATTTTCGTTTTAGTTAAATATTCACATATGAACTATTTAAGAACAATGGGAATTTGGTCTTTCCTTTTCTGGATGCTAAACACAATACAGGGAAAATAGGATTGTTGATCAAAACATCAGACATCTTAATGCTATGGTAACCAACAGTCCTCCTTTAGGGAGGACAGTCCTCCTTTTGTAAGTTCTGTCCTCACTTGAAAAGTGTCCTCCTACATGTCCTCCTTTTCAATATTTGAAGACTAATCTGCAGGGCTTTTTTTTCTCATAGAACGCTCAGAATGGCGTTCCAGCACCTTTTTTTAATTTTTTTTTCAACTTTTTCATGAGCTGTTCTACTCCCTCTATTGGCTTTCGAAAGCCAATAGGAAGTGCTGCTGAGCAGCACCAAAGCACCCAGCTGGCAAACCTTGCTCATGAAAGTTGTCTGTATTATTGTTGCAATGAATAAAATGTTTCTTTTATTTACAATATTTTTTCTTCAATTTATTTGTGTCCTCCTTTTCATTGTAAAAAAATTGGTCACCTTATTAATGCAAGTAGAAGTTCAGACACTGCATGTTAGAGAGTTTATGGAAAACAAGTTTATAAATAAAGTACTTTGAATTTTTGCTTCTCATTAAAAAGGCAGGTATAAGTACAAGAACAGCCTTTGCTAGCAGCCCTGGTAAAATCTTGGCCAACCTGAGTAACACTGGACTGGATTTAATGGTCTAAATTGTGACTCACAATAAAGGAACTTTATTTATCACTGTGTACATTCAATTTCTCCATGATAGAATGTTGCTCAACATTGCCACTTGACCCATGGAAGAAGATTAGACCCCAAAGTCTAAATGACCTGTTTTGATTCTTTGATAGAGCAATTCTAGTCTAGTAGAGCTTCTAATGAGCAGAGCTACATTTGATTTACAGTTCCCTCTCTACCACCATCCTTGGAGAAGGAATCTTATTAAAATAATATGATTAATTCATTGAAATAAGATTACAAAATGCAGCTCTGTGAAGGGAGAGCAGAGAATGCTAAAGAAGAGAATGAGTTATCAAAAAGTTATCTGTTTGTAGTAAGTTGTTATGGTGTGCATTCCAGGACTGGACAGTAAAATGTTTCTGGATACAGAATCAGAATTTGGCTTCCTTGGAAGGAATTCACTGAAGATTGCAAGGAAAAAAAAATAGAACACAAATATATTAACAAATGTATATAAACTACATTTGTAGGACAGAGAAGCAATCCCTAGCACAGAGCAACTTCAAAACGTAGAAGTAGA